TGCATGCATATCTGTCAGGAGATCGAATACACACATTGTCAATTTCAGCAATTATAGTAAATATTGGCTCAATAGGCTCTACCTCGCTACAAGCACCTTTTGTGTCAATTGCTCCGCTCGTACCCGCTACCTCAGGAGTTTTTGGTTGCAACTCCACCTCAAGTTGAATACCGTTCAGATCCGTATAAACACTGCTATAATCACTCTTAGCCAGAAGTACTGGAGACTTGTCAAATGTAACTTTTCTGCTGATAACATGTGAATTTAATTCCGGGCACTACAACTTATAATCCCGCTCACCTTGTGTATAACCTAGGAACATGCACTTTCTTGCCCTTCCATCGAGCTTACCATCACTAACTCGAGCATAACATGGGCAACCAAATATTCTAATAACAAAATAATCAGTAACGTTACCTGACCACACTTCTTCGAGAGTCCGACATCCAATCGCAGTCAATGAGGATCTATTTTTCAGGTAGCTCGCCATACTAAGCGCATTCGCTAGAAATCTCCTAGCCGTACCAACACTAGAGAGCATTTTATGGGCCGTCTCTAGTAATATTCTGCTCATCAACTCTGCAACATGTTGTGGTTTACTGACATTAGTGCGATATCTCATAATGCCTTCCTTCATGCAGAATTCGTTTAACAATTTCGAGCAAAACTCCATACTATTATTAGTCTGCACCTGCTTTATCATTTTGCCAGTCTCTTTTTCGATCAAAGCTATCAACTGCCTGATTCTGACAACAACATCAAACTTTTGCCTAAGCACAAACACCCAAGTCTTCCTTGAGTAATCATCAACAACTGTTAGCATAAATTTTGGCACTCTTCTTCAAAGGAAATCGCGACAACCTGCGAACATAAAAGTGAATTAACTCTGCAATTTCTGTGGTTTCTTTAACAATCGCACTGAACAGCACTTTCCACCGTTGATCTAAGTCATAGCACTTGCAGACATTCGGTTCGTCAGTAACATAACCACATAGTAAATTTCTTTCACTTAGGCTCCGTTCGTTTGGTGGAAAATATTCTCCCGAATATATTTTCCGGGTTTTCCGGTGTTCGGGGCGGAAAACGTTTTCCGTGGGAAAATATTGTCCTTCCCCCTCACAAAATAGCTTTGAAGTCTACGGAAAATGACTTCCGCTTCTTCAAAAGCGGAAATCATTTTCCGGGCTCTTCTTCTTCTTCTTCTTCTTCACTAAGGCCATTGTGCTTGATTCCTTTCATTATCATTAAAGCACCTCGAATAATTTTTAGAACTCCACATTCTGAAGTATACCAACACCCAGTTGAATCCAAGGCACTCAAGGAAATCAGATTTTCTTCAACTTTGGAACATGCCTCACTCCAGTTAATGTCCACACGATATCATCATGCATTATGATTCTAACATTACCAATACCAATAACATCGCACTTCGCGTTGTTCGCCAACTGCACTTTACTACTATCCGTGCATTAATAAGTAGTATACCAGTTCCTGTTTGGTGTAACGTGAAACGAACAACCATAGTTTCCAAACTTTTTCATGTTGGTCGCCGAACACGGAAAATTATGTTCGAGGAAAATATTTTCGGAAAATGACTATCCGAAAATATTTTCCAAAAGGAGAATATTTTCCGCCAAACGAACAACCTTAGAACCTTTAAGCTTTTCTCGCTAATATGCCCCAAATGCATATGCCATAACTCGACTATTGAACCGATGCATCCGATGTCTCCAACAGACGAATTCCGTTCTTGTCTCATCTTGAAGCTCATATAGGCCATTGTGCTTGATTCATTTCATTATCACTAAGGTACCTCGAACAATTTTCAAAACTCCACATTTTGAAGTATACCGACACCCAACTGAATCCAAGGCACTCAATGCAATCAGATTTTTCTTTTACTTGATTTCCTCACTCATAATTAAATCTCGAACACCATTAAACGTCAAACTTGATGACCTAGAAGAATTACTAATAGCAAGAATAATAATATTCCAACTATCAAGCAATGATAAGTAGTAAATCGCTTCCGTTTGGTGTAGTGTGAAACGAACAACCATAATCCATAATCCATCCGCCAAACGATGAATCATTAGTGACAGACAAGACAAAATCGTACTATCCGAATTACCGTCTCGCTATAGCCGCAACATCATCCGCAGACTCAACTTTAATTCCTTTATCCTTGTCTTTCTTCGCTTTAGGCAATCCCTTCTAAGATGCCCCCTCTTGCCACAACTCCAATAGACGGCACCACCATTCCTAGACCGACTTCATCTATTCATGTTTATACTACTTCTGCTAACACGTGTACTAGTTCTTCCTCTATTTTCACCTACTAAAATAGCAAACACATGTTCGCTAAATTTTCTTCTGAGTATGTCCTCACTCAATTAAATCTCGAACACCATCAAACGTCAAACTTGTTGACCCGGGGAATTACTAACAGCGTAATAATAGTATTCCAACTATCAGGCAATGATGATAATAGAATCAAAGCACGTACCTCATCTTCAAAGTCAATCTCAATTTAACTCAATTGACTAACGATCACATTGAATTCATTAATATGATCAACAACTGACGCACCTTCGCTCATCTTCAAGTTAAATAGACATTGCATCAAATAGACCTTGTTGATCGCATAGGGCTTCTCGTACATGTCTGATTGGGCTTTCATCAAACCCGCAGTGATCTTCTCATTCACGATGTTAAACGTGACGTTACGAGCCAATGTCAGCCGAATAACACCTAAAGCTCGTCTATCCAGCAATTCCCAGTCAGCTTGCTTCATCGTCTTTGGCTTTCGCAACAATGGTATCAGAGCCTATGGTTGATTGGTGGGCCCCCAATTTGTTACGGTGTTTGAAAAATATCTCAAAAATGAAATCTCGTGATCGACGTTTGTTTCCGGTGGAAATTGCCATCACGGTTGGTCTGGCGAGAAGTGACCATGGACAGTTGGTCTGGTGACGCGAGATAGGGACATGGGTGATGCAATTCCAAGTTAGCAGTTGATGATGGTTGTTGTGTATAGTTGCGGGTGCATTGCAATGACTTGGAGATTCAAGTTGAGATATGTTGATGCAAAAGAATACCTAAATTAAGGAGAGCAAACCTAACACTAAGCTCACACGTGAGGGGGAGATTGTTGAGATATATATGTGAGTTGTGTTAGAAAAGTCGCACATCGAATAAGTGGTGTGGTGTGAAGCAATTAATATATCCAAGTTGGCCAATAACTCATTGGCTTAAGCTTTTGAGTAAAGATGGGTTCAAATGGATGTGTTGACAGGCTCGGACTTGAGCTCCCTCTTGGCGATTTCCCTAGGTGAAGATATCGGCTTTCTACTACGCACTCCCAACATTACTAACATGTTACCAGTTAAATATGTTGCCGGGCTTTCGAGGAATTACCAGCAAGGAAAAGTGTTCCACACTTTCACGCAAGGAAAGCTAGAAATTTGCTTTAAAGTTGTTATCAGGACCTCTGGCCGGTGGAATTTATTCAGGAGGGACCATGTGGTGTCTGTTAAATAATGAAAATGATTACTGCAGTTGCAAATTTGAAAGCAGTCACTAATCCTACTCACTTTTAACTTTCGGTTCCTAGAGTGGACAACCAGCACAAAAGTCTCAAGCACGACCCTCAGAACTGGTGTCTAAAAGCCATGTGTAATCCTACTCACTTTAACTTCACTGTCCCTCTGAGCATGATCCAAAGAACTGGTGACCAAACTCTGTTTATCCAGAAGAGTTGGAGCTTTTGGCATCGCAATGTTTCCCTGTATCTTCCTAAGTATTGGTTTGAAATGGGCACCGTTTTGGCCGTCAAAATGATCCGTTGATGACCCTGGCTGTGGCGGAATTTTGGCTGTAAAATCTAGCAAGGGAAACATGGTATTTTTGCTGAAAATGTTTCGAAAGCATCTATTTGTTCAGACTGAAATTCTGAAGTTGATAAAGTTAAGATCTTGTGAATAGACTGTGGCTTAAAATTCCTGTTACTGCATATGGCCTGCTGTAGCATAATGGTTCTGAAAGCTACACTTTGAATTCGACTGATGCTTCGTAGAACATCAGCAGATCACGAAGTCAAGAAGGAACTTTTCAATTCGAGGCGAAGGATTTGGAAGTTGCACTGACCAATAGCATTACTACATAAACATGACAGAGAAACTTCACAAAGTATTCTCCAAGACCTGTGGGTAGGCATATTGATCGAATTCCACTGAAGAACATATATACAATTCAAGATTCATCATGTATTTCCGCTACTTTCATTGTGAATTATCCCTCATTAGCTTTATTTGCTTCTGACGCGTAGTTGTACATGAATTATTTGGATGGAGCAAGTAATAGCTACCTTTGAAAATCATGATGCGTGCTTAATCATTTCAAATTGGAGAAGATGGAAGAAGGCTTCCAGATGTCTTCACATTTTAAAATGGCTTTTCACGTTGACTGAGATGCACATTAGCATGCTTCCTGATCGTTGAGGTGATCATATCAAAACACTTAACCTGGACTTTTCAGGAGTTGGACAATTTGTAGATAGCTCCACTTGCTACTTATAATAGAAAATTGTCTCATTAGTGGTAGGCCAAAAGACGGATTAAGTGCAATTACAGTTGTGGAGGTCGTACTAATGTTGTTCACCATAAATATCACTTAATCTTTAGACAGAAAACCAAACTGTGACTGCTCACAGAATAGTTGACATCCGATTCATGTTCACAATCCAGAAAGATGAATGGTTCTGGGAAAATAAAAAAAATCTAAGGGTGGGCTAGTTGACATTGAAAAGTAGTTCTCTTTTGACATATCTGTCCAACATGAAGTTCCCCTCACCAAGAAAATTGCGGTAGGGGGCGAATAAATGTGTTAGAAAAATTTAGTTGAGCTATTGGAACGTCTTTGTCAAGAAACAATGAAATAAACCTATAACGATTATTACGCAACAAAATTTTGAAGCTTCGTCTCTCCTCGTCAGAAAAATCTCAGCCTTTTGAAGAAGTTGCTTCCATCTCTTGTGATGAAGGGTCAGAGAGATACTGCTTCAATCTGCTCATTTCATGAGCCATATCCATCATGCTAGGCCTTGTTGAAGGAGAATACTGCGTGCACATGAGACCAAGCTCGATCAGCTCCACTATCACCTCGCAACATGCCTTCCTAAAGTACTCGGGCATTGACGGCGAGCTGCACCGGGATAGTGCTTGTTGCACGATGGGATCGAGATTGTGGGGATAGTGACTTTTGACCCATTCATGCAAGCTTGAACATTCATTAAACAGGACCTCTGTCGGGCGTACTCCCATCACGATCTCAAGCAGAAGAACCCCGAAACTGTAGACATCTCCTTGAGTTGAAGCCCTTTTCCCCATCCCGTACTCTGCATTTTCTCAAAACAGTCATATTGGAAGGTTAGGCTTTTATTTCTAGAAGAGGACAAATGGTCAGGTTTTTGACATAGTGGAAGAACTAGTGGAAGTGTAATAATTTATGATTTATATGTAGAAATCAAATTTTCTAACTCGTAAATGGACTAAAACTTGCGCAGACATGGAGTGAACACAACGCAGTTGACATCAAAGTGTACACAATGATTAGTGGCAATTCAATTTGATGAGACTGCAAGTGCAACATACCAGGAGCAATATAGCCGACTGAACCGCATAATAATCCATCTGTTGAGCTGTATGTTGCAGAATCATATGGCGTAACACCTTCATCACCTCCTTTTACCAATCTTGCTATTCCAAAATCAGTGACCAAAGCTGTCATATCGTCATTGAGAAGTATGTTGCTCGGTTTTAAATCACAGTGAACAACTCTAACAGGAGAATGATGGTGTAAATATGCAACACCCTCGGCCACATCGCTACAAATGCTGACCAACTGAACCAAATCCAGCCCTTGGTTCAGCTTGTGGCTCGGGTACAGATGCCTCTCCAGGCTACCATTTGACATCAATGGAAGAACCAGAGCCTTAAAATCCGGCCTACTGCATATAGTTATGATCCTCATCAGATTCCTGTGCCTGGTCCTCTTAAGTATTTGGCACTCTCTTTTGAAGCTCCCCAAGATTCCTCCAGCAGTCTTCGAATCCAAAACCTTCACAGCGATTCTCGTGTTATCTTGGAGAACCCCTTTATAAACATGCCCGAACTGGCCCGAACCAATCAGGCCGGAAGGGTTGAATCCACCAGTAGCCTCCATGAGTTGCCGATACGAAATTTTTGGGTACTTGTGCTCTTTGCTTTCCTGCTTTTCTTCATCTACCATGTCGGCCCTGCTGAAAATCTCGAGCTTCTGTCTGATTTTGGACCTGAGTGCGAGACAGGATCCGAATATGCAGAATATGGGAGTGACAACCAATGAAAGGAGAATCGGCACAATAATCAAGTGATAGTGTCGCCTCTTCTTGCAAGCTTTCATGCCCTTTATTGATCCACAGAGGCCACTGTTTCCCTGGAAAGAATCCACTGTCAGGGCAGCGAATGCACCATCGTCCAATACATTTCCGGAGAAACTGTTGAAAGAGAAGTTGAGCTGCTTCAGAGTTGGAGATGCCTGGAGAGATTGTGGGATCGCTCCAATCAAACGGTTGGAAGATACGTCAAGTGCTTGAAGATAAGGCAACTGCCCTATCGAAACAGGAAAGGGACCTTCCAATATGTTGCCGGAAAGATTGAGGTACTCAAGTGCAATGCAGCTGCCGAGTTGCGATGGGATGGTCCCAGAGAGATTGTTCGACGATAAATCAACTGCCAAGACCATGTCCATTTTACTCAGCTGCAAAGGTAAAGCACCATGTAAATAATTACTAGACAGATTGAAGTATATCTTCAAGCTCCTCATACCCGCCACTTCATCAGGAATCGTCCCGGAAAGTCTGTTGTGAGAAAGGTCAAGTATCTCCAAATTCACGCATTTTGCTAGACTTGGAGGAATCATTCCGGAGAACTGGTTCTTGTATAGCAAGAGCCTTCTTAATTGAGAGAGGTTGGCAAAACTATCCGGAATCAAACCGGATAGCTTGTTTCTTGACAAGTCCAAGAGACCAAGGTGAGGAAGATCACCGACAGCTGAGGGAATCTCACCAGATAACGAATTGTTCGACAAATACACTCTTTCAAGCCTTTCCATTCGGCATAGCTCGGTTGGAATGGTTCCGTTCAAAAAATTGCTGGACAAGTTCAATAGAGTGAGATTAAAAAGGTTCGAAATTTGTGGAGGGATTGAACCATAGATGAGATTCTCGGCTATATGAAACTGCGTCAGAGTACGAGGAAGATCGCCGATGTTGGCAGGTATCTCTCCACCAAGTTTATTGGCGGCCAATTCAAGTTCTTGCAAGTTAGATGAATTGGCTAAAGCTGAAAAGAAAGGTCGGAGGTTGGTGTTACCGTCGTGACTTACGAAATCATTGTAGGAGAGATAAAGAAACTGCAAGCGTGGCAGTTTGCGAACAATGTCAGAAGGCAACTCACCACTCAGCATGTTCGACTCTAAATCAAGCCACTCTAGCCTTGCGGAGTTGGCCAACGCTGGAGGGACGGGACCCACAAGCCCATTGGACCACAGCATAAGATACCTCAATGCCCGAAGCTCACACCCATCTCTTAAGGGTATTTCCCCAGTTAGAGTATTGTTAGACAGGTCCACATAATCCAAAAAAGATGATCCATTACAGAAGATTGCTTCCGGAATGTCACCTGAAAGCTTGTTGGTTCCCAAATTAAAGTACACTAATTTGTGAAGAGAACCAAGCTCTGAAGGGATTGTCCCTTCAAGGAGATTCCATGTTAGGCTCAACTGTTCGAGCTCAACAAGAGAGCCTATCTCGGCCGGTATGGGACCTTCAAAGAAGTTCATGGACAGATCAAGAATGGTTAGCTTAGAGAGACCAGCAAGTGCAGGAGAGATGGTGCCTCTTAGTGAGCTTCCATTCAGGTAAAGCTCTACTACCGCACTTCTTGCATTGTTGCACACAACTCCTGTCCAGTTGCAGACGTGGAGGTCGCTAGAATTCCAGCTTTGTAAGGCGTTTTCCGGGTCCGAAACGATGCCTGACATGAACGACACAAGCGAGGCTCTATCGGTCATGATTTGACCATCGCCAGTGCTGTCTCCAGAAACAACACGAAAGGCAATGAACAAGAAAGGGAAACTAATATAAAAGGAAAAGAATCTGAAACAAGCCATCTCTGTCTTCAAAAAACTGTCTTCTCCGAACTAAAACTTTTCGAAGAAAATGATCGCGGATGCGAGACACAGAGAGAGAGAGAGAGAGAGAGAGAGAGAGAGAGAGGAAGAGAGGGAGACGAGCTTGTCAGTGTTGCGTGAGACACAAGCGCATCATCATGCATGGCGGTGTGTCTTAATTAAAGAAGAACACACGAGCCCGGAAGATATGCAATACCAGGAAGCAACGTAATAAACTAACCAATAATCTACGCGATGTGTCCTATGGTTTGCGCCTAACTGCCGTTGAAGGAGAGAGCGTAACGTTTGGCGCCGATGAACTTTGACCTTCCCAGAGGTCAACGAATGGCAGAGGACCACGTGAGAACCCAAGGCGCGACACGTCAGCGAGTCGGGAGCCGTACTGAACTGCGAAGTGGTGTACATGTCAGAACACCACTTGCGAGCGATGCCTAACTCTTTTATCTCTCTTTCTATATCTCTTCTATCCTGCTTCTTGTTGGGTTTAGGCTGAAATTAGTGGAGGGCGTGTTGTTGAGGATGAGATAATCTTAGTTAATAGGCACGCCTAGGAGGGTGACGTGGCAAGGTTTTTTCGTGGGGTTTTGGTATATTTGTCGGCTGAAACATTAGTTGCACGGAACATATTAAGATTGACATTCTAATTATTAGGCAGGCTCTGTTCTTTATTTGATATGATGTTTGGATAGATAGACAAGGTTAGGGTCAACATATACTTGATGTCACGGCCAAAAGAATTGCCATTTGCGGATGCTTTTTTAGCTCCAAAGAAAGTGCCGATAGCTTATTGCGACTCCTTTTCGGTCTTTTAGTGACAGTCGGAAATAGCATTTCATCGTGTTACAAAGACAGTACAATTGCTATACTGGCACGATTCCCCCCTCCATGTCCGGTTACCTTATACCATGGATTCAATCACATGTCCGCAGTTGGTATCAAATTAACCGGAGACAATTACATCATATGGAAGGTACGCCTCTCCCCTTTCTCCGGGCAGTCGACTCCTGTCAATTGTGGACGGAACCGAACCATGCCCTCCACACACTATCACTGAAATTAGTGAGAATGGTGTCACCAAAAGTTCACCAAATCCAAGATATGAAACATGATTTACCCGAGATCAAATTGCCTTGGGGTGGATTCTCAATTCCACAACAACATCGTTGCACACTCTCCAATTTAGGCTCTTCGGCCGTATGGTCCTTCTTGGCTCAATCATATGAAGCACGTAACAGTGCTCGCGCCACACATCTACGAATGCAACTTCAAACTCTACGCAAGGGAAATCAAACAATCACGGAATATCTACAGCAAGCGGCCTTCTTGGTTGATCAACTTGCCTCGATCGGTGAGAACATCTCTTCACAAGAATATCAAACTCATCCGTTCGGGGGACTCGGAGCGGAATATCAAAATTTAGCAGTGTCAATCTCCGTTCAAAGTCGTACCAATCCCTTACACGCGAGTCTCTACACCGGCTGCTCTTGGCTCATGAGGCACGACTTGATTTGCTTGAGCCCATCACCTCCCCTCCAGAGCGTTCATGACACGGACAGCACACCAAGCACCTCAACGCTTCCTTCTCGTGTGAATAGGTCACCACGGCCGGGCAACAATTTCCGCAAAGTGGACAGCACTTTGGCCCTCAAAATTCAGCCCCAAATTACTCTCCAAATGCAGGCAATTACGTAAATCAAAGGAGCGGTAGTGTTCGATGTCAACTCTGCAATCGCTTTGGCCACCGAGCCAATGTGTGCCGTGACCGTGGGCCTCCACCACAATCTTTAGGCTCGGCACCACGCTCCACATTGCTGAAATTCCACCACCACCATCGCCTTTTCGGACCCGTGGTATCCAGATTCCGGTGCCACACACCACGTCACAAATAATCCATCTCAATTGTCCTCTCTTCAGCCCTACATAGACAACCAACACGTTATTGTTTCCTTTGACACCCCCCTGCAAGCTGATGTGGCGGAACACACAGTAAGCTTGACGTGTAGAAGTCGAAAGCGAGCAAAGAAACGGAAAACGGTCTCATCAAAGATGGCATCCAGCATCGTATAGAATCGTTGTTGTTGTGGAGAATAGCACAAAGCCCTTGACACCCGAGGGATATCCCAAGAAAATACATCGATATGACATGGGCTCTAGTTTGTGCTTGGCATAGGTTCGTAGGTTCGGGTACACAGCGCAACCAAAAACCCGAAGATGCTCAATGGATGGTGCGGTAGATATGATGAGGATGGTGGGGATCAACGAAACCGCGGTTGATCCATGAATATTTCTTCGAGATGACCATGGAGAAAAGCATTCTTGACATCTAGTTGTCGGAGTTGCCAACCTCGAGAAAATACAACCGCGAGGATCGTGCGAACCGTGACATGTTTCACCACCAGACCAAGGTTTCATTATAGTCGATTCCCCGCGTTGATGAAAGCCCTTTGCGACTAATCGGCCTTGTACCGTTCAATAGAGCCATCTCGCACGAAGCTTGACACGAAAGACCCATTTGCGCCAATGGGTTTACCGTGCTGAGGTGATGGTACAAGCTCCCATGTCTGATTGGTTTGCCATTTATGCTTTCGCAAGATATGGCTCCGATACCATGTTAAAGCAATGAACTAACAAGATGAGAATGGGTGGCAATTACCAATGAGTGTTTTGTGTTTCAAGAATAGAATTTTTTGTTACATTCTTCGGCTACGCATTGTGATGTCTTTATATAATACAAGCTAGGGTTACGGAATTAATGAAGAATAAAATCATGATCTCCTCTTTGGAAAGAATTGATCTTGCTTGATAAGCAAGTGGTGAAGAGATTGTAGCTGAATCAAGACACGTTATTGTTTCCTTTGATAGGCTCTACTCCTATTTCGGGTTTGATAGCAAGTTATGATAGAATACTTTTAGTTCATCTCGACAAAATGGGTGGAATGTTTATCCACTTTATTTGATATGATGTTTGGATAGACAAGGTTAAGGTCAACATATACTTGATGTCACGGCCAAAAGAATTGGCACTTGTGGACGGTTTTTTAGCTCCAAAGAAAGTGCCAATAGCTTATAGTAACTCTTTTTTGGTCTCTTAGTGACAGTCGGAAAAAGCATTTTATCGTGTTACAAATACAGTGCAATTGCTATATCGGCACAATTCCCCCCTTCATGTATGATTGCCTAATACCATGGAAGGCTCTATTCCTATTTTGGGTTTGACAGCGAGTTATGATAGAATACTCCTAGTTCATCCCAACGAAATGGGTGGAATGTCTACTCACCTTCCAAAAATATCACCATTCCTTTTGTTCTTTCTAGTCATATTTTTTTATTTTCACTACCATTTGGCGTAAGACCATCAAATAAAGAAGGAATTTGTGAGGAGTTTGTCCCAATGTTTTAAACGTAGCAAAGGGAGATTTCCATCGTTTGTGGATCACTCGGATAAATTTAGCAATTCAGGAGAATAAGGTATCCTATACCATAAATATATGATATGAAAATATATGAAAAAACACATCTTTCACACATTTTGAGGGTCCTTAAGAAGATGAAAAAATATGAAATTGTATCAAGATTATATATAAAAGATATATGAGAATATCCTCTAGTGTGGAGGGAATGTGTGCATATGTAGAAAACTAGTCCGGATGTGGTTATTATAGAATTCGAAACAAGTTATGGGAGCTTTTTATGGTGCCTTGAGATTCACCGTAGTAACTTCGTTGCAATCACGTGCATTGTGTCGTAATCCCTATATAAAGTGTCGTAAATATCAAGATCTTAAAAGATTACTATCGACAAGTGAGACTTGATCACATTTTCATCCAACAACAACATGACATCTCCGTCGATCTAATTCTTGATGACTTGTAGAAACCCCCCGCACTATTTTTCAGTAATTGTAGTTTAATAAAAGCCGAGTGTTTCCTCTCCTCTCGCGTCTGAGATATAAGAAAGTGCATGTGGTCCAGGGAAATAATGCCAACTTAACTAAACATGAAATAATGGTGACAAATCCCTGTGATATTGACTATTTGGATCTTGTATTATCTTCAACGTTATCTGCAATCTCCTAGTCAAAGTCATTTCTCATATTCCGAAGTTCAAATGGCATGGTATCATATCGAGAAACAAGGATGAATTAATCTCATGTGTCGCCTGGTTCCAAGAATACCAGAAACGTCGTGGTTGCTAGAGATTTCCACCAGAAACCCTAATTATTTCCCCGGAAATACAATAAAAAAACAAAGTAGTATAACTACAAACCAGGAAAAATCCTAGACAACTTAAACAAGCTCCAAATAACAAGATGAATTATCAAAACAAGATTAGCGGTCACCTGCTCAAAGAGTAAATCTACGACTTTTTCAAACCAAAATCGGCAGCTGATCACCGAATCTGTTGATCACCAAATCTGTCTTCAGTAACGAGCACACACGAAGATCTCCATCTATGACTTCTTCAACCAGAAACCCTAGTTCACATTACTATACAGGAATGCGACTTCAACCCTAGTCCACGCTTGTAAAAATAGATTAATACTAGTCGCTTAGACCCAATTGGTTAATCTCTTGGAGTTTTACATGATGTTGTTCTCGATTTATTTCCGACAAAGCAAGAAGTTTCCTAGGTGAACTCTATATTATGATAGAATACTCCTAGTTCATCTTGACGAAATGGGTGGAATGTCTACTCACATTCCAAAAATATTCACCTAAACTTTTTTTTTCTTTCTAGTCATTTGTTTTATTTTCACTACCATTTGGCATAACACCATAAAATAAAGAAGGAAGTTGTGAGGAGTTTGTCCTAATGTTTTAAATGTAGCGAAGGGAGATTTTCATTGTTTGTGGATCACTCGGATAGATGTAGCAATTCGAGAGAATAGGGTATCCTATACCATAAATATATGATACAAAAATATATGAAAAAACACATCTTTCACACATTTCAAGGGTCTTTAAGAACATAAAAAAAAA